CTCTGAATTAAATCTAATAGGTATCTTATCTTTCATACATCCTGATCGCCAGTATGTTCAATTCCACTTCTCTGATAATAGAAATACCACTATGACAGAAACAACAATTAATATAAGAATTAAGATAGTGTAAAGACATAATTTTCACGTGAATCTGAGCATCAAATATAAAAACTGAGCAAATTTCTCTACCAATTTCCAATAAATATGTCCACTACTAACTGAAACAACAATATAATACACCTGTCCAACCTTTCTTTCACCCTGCATTTCTAATACTAACCCAAAAAATCTCAGCTTTCTACATAAGACGTTCATGAACATTTTTACCTTTCTTTACCTCATTTGCTATAAGATTTTACTCATTGACTTAGAATTTAAAGTAAATACTAAATACAAAATAAAATAACATTAATCAATTCCCAAAGCCAAATCAAATGCCCGTAGAGACTATTAAAAACAAGATATTTCACCACTATAAGTGCAATATAAACCAATTCTTACTTAAAACATAGTACAGCAGAAATATAGAAACTGCCACTTTCTCCTAAATTATGCTCCTGCACTCACAATTCAATGTCCTTTCTTGACTTTTGCAATACACTAGACAGTTTAAAGCCATATTACACATTAACATCCTTTACCTTAATAATTCAAGAAACTCCTAAAATTAGTACTTGATGCCGGTGTTATTACCATACAAGGTTCTCATTTGTTGTTCTGCAAGAATATATGTTTCATCAAAACATTACACACCCAAGGAATCTAAGTGAATAAGTCCTAAATGTTAAGCATCTCGTCTAAAAGCTTAAGCATGTAGATTCATTTAAGTTTTGTCACAAGAAGTATATAAATACCTGAGCAATGACACCGGAAATGCCACCCATAACCGCTTTGCTAAAAAGGGAGGGCGAATTATCAGAAGACGGCACGAAATTACGCAAATGCTCGTACCCCACGATTCGAATCGGAGTATAGAAAAGGTGTCTAACGGCAGCAGGGGACAAGCCTCTGTACAGTCCAAAAATGCCGTCGTCTTTTGCGATTTGAAAAACGATTCTGAACGCAGAAGCTTGCCGCGTTGATGGTAGAGACTCGCCGTGGAGTTGGAGCCTCGTTTTAATCAAGTCGATTGGAAACGTCGTCGTCTCTGCTATCATTGCGGAGAATGACGTCAGTAGGATCTTCTTGACGTCAGAATCATTTCGGAGACTCCGGTTATCGCCGCCGGCCGTCATCGTTGGACTGGAGTCGAGCAATACGGTGTCGTTTCGAGTTTTTTAAGCAACCCAGTTATTTATCTCAATTATGCCTTCTTGAGTTCTTGTTTATCCAATGTCCGTAAGAATTCTCAGATTTTCTTTACCTGTAATTAGAGATGTAAATTTGCGGCGCCCAAGATCGCGGCTACAGTAAAAAATAGCTCTGACTTTTTTAGTATGAGTGGAGTCAAGCCAAAGCTCAATCGAAAAATTGAGGCTTGGATTGAGTTTTCTGCTTGAGCCTTATCGAGCCGACTGGGTTATTTATTTATTTTTTTATATAATTCATGAAATTTTAATTTTTCTTTAACAATATAAATTTTGTGCAATTTATATTATCGTAGATTAAATAAAAATTACAATTCTCCTTTTTTTGGACTTGGAATCATCGACTATCAACATAGGTCCAATTAAAATATTTTGTATAAATTTTTTTTAAAACAAATAAATTTAAAAATTACATAAAATCAAATTGATGGGATTTTTCAATTTTTTTAATAGCTACAACTGCAAAAGTAGTTGCAGGACAGCTGCCTGCATGAAACGTAGGCAGCTAAAACTGCCATCTGTGTATCAAGCAGCTATAGCTTCCTGCATAAAACGCTGGCAACCTCATGCAGACAGTTATATAGACGAGCCATTTTGGTCCATGTTAATGGCCTCACATGCCGGCTCCGGCTCCAGTTCTGGCAAACACTTGAAAATAAAGCTCAGCTAGAGTATCGGCTTAATGTCATCGAGCCGCTCGAGCTTTTCCCAGATCAAGGCACGGGCTATCCTAGCCAACGAGATGCGTTGACATCCCTACCTATAATATCTCC